CGTGACAATATTCATATATAGTGATAGCGCCACCTACTGGCAACAGGAAGTAAGCGCTGCGTGGCGATTTTGAGCTGATTTACGTGAAATTTTCATGTTGTGGTCCGCACGTGTAATGACGGCACGTGACGCGGCCGCAGCATGCCCCGAGTTGCGTGGAGTGCGAGGTCCCGCCCAACGCTGCTTGCAGCTTTAATTAGTTTTACTTTTTAACCTGTTAAAACCTACTTGCTTGCTGGCGCCAGTTTAGGGTTATGGGTATACAGGTGTGGTTGGGTTAGGGGTATGGGTTTAGGGTTTAGGGGTTAGGGTTAGGGTTAGAGGGGAAGCATTTTGATATTACTTATATACAATATAAATTTAATGGCAAAAAATGTATTTAATAAATTGTTTTTAGAGAATAGTTCTGCTTGGTGAGAAAAGATTAAGTAGCCAATTAGTTTTTTCATTCATATGGTGGTGTTTTCCTTATCAGAATTAGATTAAAAAAGAATTGTAATATACAGCCTTCATAGCATCGCAATAAATGAGGTGAAATACGTAACATTTTGCCAGATTCTTAACAATACACAGCCCTACCAGCTGGGACATCATTGCAAGTGACTGAGCAGAAGCCCTCAGTGTTCACCCCTCTGCTACTCTCAACTACTAAATTCAAGTCAATTTTATTTATATAGATCAATATCAAACATTTTCCTCAAAGGCTTTACATTCTATACAGCATACAACACCCTATATCCTTAGTCCCCTCGATTCAGATAAGTAACAACTCTCCCCCAAAGAATATTATTTTCTTTCACAAATTATTCTGCGTTTCCTCTTAACTGTTTTTCCGACCACTGTTTGGCTACCTTCAATGAAACCCAGCGTTTCTCGCACAGGTTTTTAAAAGTCTACTAGCAGCTCAAAGGGCATAATCACAACTTTTTCTTGTGGGCTTTTAAATTTGCAGGTGCTAGTGTTTTTGAGAATTAGTAATTGAAAACAGTGGTAGTGTTAAAAATAGAAACTGAGAGCAGCAGAGTGGTCACATGACTCTAATAAACATGATGGAATTGCTGTGAGCCATTATAGTACAGGTAATTCCCCCCAAAAAACTAGAATAATTTTTGGTGACCTTTTTTGGCCATAGGACTGTTCAGTTTTGTAAACTAAAACTCAGATTAAAACGTTTAGAATGAAAGCTTGTGTTGGTGTCATTGTCAGGTAGCTCAGGATGTGGCTCTGAGTACAGGAGACACCAGGTTTATTCTGAAGCTTCTGGAAGCTGCAGGAGACATTTTCTTCAACAGCAGCCAGGACCGGGACAAGGCCATCACTTTCTACAGGGTACAGTCAGTCCATGCAAATATTTAAAATTATCTCTCATTACTCATTACACTTACTACTGTCTGTTATCCGTTATACAGTTGCAAGAAAAAGTATGTGATCCCTTTGGAATTACCTGGATTTCTGTATAAATTGGTCATTACAAATTTTATGACCAATTTATGCAGAAATCCAGGTAATTCCAAATGATTCACATAGTTTTTCTTGCAACTGTAATTCCCTACTACCTGAGTTGTCAGTCATTAAGCAGCTCTATGTCTTCATTTCTGGGCATATAATTGTTAGGAATGGTTGCCAAAAATAAGAAAATAAGGGCCACTTTGAGTCATCATTTGAGACGATAATGTCCTGTGTATCTTTGTGTATTTTCACTTGTAGGACCGCGCTCTGCCCATTGCAGATAGGAGCAACAGTGTTCGTTCCAGGCTGAGGTTGTGTAACAAGCTGACGGAACTGATGCTCAGTCTCAAGCTGTATGGGGATGCTGTGGAGTTTGCTCAGACTGCACTGGACATCAGTATCACCCTAGGTATAGAGAACACAAAGTTTAGAATTTTCAGTACTACACTGATTATCTGCATAAAGACCTACTTACAACTATTAATGAATGAAGCATGGTACATATCAGCTGAGCTTTTATATTGGTTGTTTTCATTTAGGCACAGTGTGAAAGTTACCTATTGCAGCTTCAAGTAGTGAGGGTAACTGAAATGTATAGATTTAAGAAATAAACTGTAGCCAATGCTGCTGTCTTCTTATGCTAGGAGAGGGACAAATATCTGAAGTAGGATGACTATGGATTGTTCACCTAAAAATATGTGTTACTAGCCAGTAGTTGTTGGTATGTTGCTCTGAGCCAAAGTAGTACACATGTGAACTGATAACACAATCACCACCCATAGGTCCTGCCGCAATCATAGCAAAAATATTTATAAATGTACTGAACTTACATCCTAACAGTTTGAAGTCTATAACTGAATACTTCTGTCCACCTCTGTGTCTGGTTGTACATACAGGTGACCATCTGAATGAGCGAGTGGCTTACCACCGCCTGGCCTCTCTGTACCACTGTCTGGACCAGTATGAACTGGCCGAACATTATTACCTGAAAACCCTGACCCTCTGTCCAACACCTCTGCTGTTTGATGAGGAAACACTGTACTATGTCAGGGTGTACCAGACACTGGGGGACATCATATTCTATGACATGAAGGTAAGTGATTGAATAATGGTGTTTTTCAAATCACTGAAATCATGTGAATCTGCACTTGAACAATTTGACAACCACAGATACATTTAGATATCCACAGGGAGTGCCTACATTGTTATGTGAAATAAAGCCACAAATATCTCATAATATTGGTTGATAATAGTGTTTCTTGAGCTTCTTTACATTAAATTGTGTATCGTTGCCAATATATGAGTGTTCTCATTTGTTATTTTGACTTGGTTTGGAACTCTGTTGGATGTTGTAGCTTATTTCCACAAGCCGTGGTTCCTGGTCGTGCTACTTGCATTATTGACTACTGACCAGTGTGGCAGAGACAAACCATGATCTTTTCCTAAACGTAACCAAGTAGGATAGTTTTGGTACCAAAACCTTACCAAACTGCAACTGAAAACGGTATGCTGTTTTACACGACTCAAACCAAGGTCTCCATTAATCCACCCCGGCCTCCACCCTACACAGACTTTGTCGCCCTTCTAGGGGGTTGCTAAACTAGGGGGTTGGGTGTAAATAGCCCAATAGCTTCCATGTGAATATGCTCCCCTGGGTGCAAAGAGGTACTTCAGTTTGTTATCTGGAGATTAAGTTAATTATTTTGTTATCTTGAGATATATTGTTGTTTCCTTAGGCAAGAAAACAATTTGTTATCTCAACCTTGGAATGGTTCAAATAACTCTGCCGACAGCCACAAAAATCACCAAAATGTGCCACAAAATCCTGTTTGCATATGGTACAACAAACCTGGATCATGAATCACAAAATAATACATTTGCATAAAAGGTGCCAAAGGGGGGACATCATTGTTTTGTAAGTCAGAAGTGCAGTATAGGTTTAAGAGTCTAGCTGTTATGTCCCTAGTCATGTCCCAAGTCAAATACAACGCGAAAAATGACCACGGAATTCAAAATGGCCAACTTTGACGGCACGCCACGGACACACCCTTCAACGTACAGTCAGCGGGTATGAGCTCAAGTGCCGCCTGTTTTTGAACTAATTTTTACGAGTACCACCACAGTTCTAATAAATTTTCTTTATTGGAATCAAAAGAATGGTTTGAACCAAGAAACACCAACACTAGGCAAAACTTTATGAAAAGAGAAACAATTACTTAAGGAAATTGTATTATTTTTCACATATATCTTGTAACTTGCTTAATATTTTGATAACTTGGTAAATCATTATCTATATGATTTCTTTAAGAATATACTGGCCAAAAACATGTAGCAGGCACCAGTATTCCTGGTCTTTGGAGGGTCAAAGGAGATGGTCAAAACCTTTTTTTTTAAGGGGGGGACTGACGGCGCCATTTTGAATGGGGCCTTTCTTGGAGTAAACTTTGGTAATTTAGTATTTTTTTGTCTCTGTCTCTGTCCCTGAATTTTTGTTAGAATTTTTTTTGGGGTCAAGCCATATTTGCAGCTGACTA